GGAAGGCAGCAAAACAGAAAGGAAAATATGATGATCTTTCAATACATTAAAGGTTATTCCAAGAGACGATAATTAGTTGTTGTGTTCTTGCCCATCTCATGTAGGACAAGAGGTAATCAGCTTAGTCTGCAGTAAGGTAGATTGAGGTTAGATATTAAGAGAAACTTTCTCACTCTATTGACAGATAAGCACTGGTTAACTGGGATAAGGTTACCCTGGAAGGCTATGGAATGGCTTTCCTGCAGCTTTTAAGAACAGCAACAGCTTAGCCAAACAGTAGGAAGGGTTCAGGCCATCTGGATGTGCACCCCAGCAGCAGCACGAGATAGAGGAATTCTTAAAACTCTTTCTAATCTCGTACTTCTTTGATACTCGTTTTCATCTCAAAGGAGGAGGATCTCTGGGGTTTGCCTCTCCTCCCTCAGGCTCCAACAATCACAGAGACCGTGAGGGACAGCAGACAGTGCTGCAGAACATACCTTATAACAGTCTTTTAAGCCAACATCTTGTGGCTGAAGTGTTAAGAGACATTTTTTACTCTTTTAGTCACAAGAGGGCCATGACATCAATGAATCAAAGTTTAAGCAAATTATCCACAGCTGAAAAGCAGGTTTCAACCCACTACAATGCAACTACTACCAAGGAATTTGGATTTTCAGATTCAAATCTATGTTGACTGCACACAGAGCCTCCCTCAAAAAAGGAAAAACAAGGTGCTGTTTGAAACCTGTATGCTTTCCTCCTGGAGATCTGTATTCAAGCCCCATTTTAGTCCATAAACAAAAATGATCCAAAGGTCTCATCCTAACTCTCTAGAAAAGTCAGCATTGGTACCACAGAGTTTAGCAGGACTAACGGAGGTTGGCAAAGTGCTTGTACCAACAAAGCCTACAGATTTTTATTTATTTACTTATTTAGGTATTGAGGGCAATATAAAGCGAGCAAACCAAATAAACACTGGGACGCTAATGTAAGGAGATCCTCAGGAGGACTAAATCTAGCACAGTCAGCTCCTACGTTGCCCCCTGTTATAGCCTACAGTGCAGCAAGAGAGAAAGAGCTAGACTTACTTTTCCAGCATTTCTGTAATGAAATAAAAAACAAGATCCTTTCAGCAGCACGAACCTACACTTACCATGCATGTGGGGAGTCTGATCAGTTTTCTTGCATTAAGTTACTTACTCATCTAAAGGAGTTTCAGATTGCAATTTCTGCTGCAAGACAAAGCAGCTAAACACAGGAACACTGAATACTGGCTTTAGACCAAGAAGCTGGAAATAGTGAGCAGTATAAACGCAGGGCAGAGCTCTACCACTGGGCACAGAATTTCTGCAGTAAGTTTATGGAAAGCCAGTTGTTCACCTGCTGCTGGTTTTCTCCCCTTCCACCTGCTACACTACACTAAAAAAATGGCAAAAAATGCACATACACATGAGAGAGAGAGAGAAAAAAAAGTTACAGGAAAAAAAAGCTATTGATAGAGCTGCTCCAGGAACACTCTGAAATCACAAAGAGGGTACCTGAAAAATGAGTACCTGTAAGGTACTGTGAGGAAAAAAAGAACAGTCACAAGAAGAACTGACATGGTGGTCTACTAAAAACTAGAGACATTTGAAATAGAATTATGAAAAATAGGAATGTAGATAGACCAGTCTTAAGTGCTTATCTTAATGATTACAAAAAGTGCTGTAAAACTTTAGGGATCAGAGTTCTACTCTTCCCCTCATTTTTCATCATGTAAATTGGGGAAAAATATCAGGATAATTAGTCAGCTTCAGAGTAATGCAAAGTCAACATGAGTCAGGGAGAGAGGAAAGCTGCCCTCTTTTGAGGCACCAATAGTCTGCAATAGCGTATTTCAGGTTTTCATAAAAGTATTGACCCTAATCATGTGGTTTGTGAGCCACTACAAAAAAACAGCTCTAAATGGACATGCTTATGTTTGCAAGCATACACATTCACTGATGAGGTAAATGTCCTCAGAAATATAATTCTTGTAAAGTCAGCATTCATCTGAACACTCAATATTCCTTATGGCCTGTATTCCCAGAGAGAGGAACCCAATAGCTTTTTTTCCTCAGTGTTACAAAAGTGAAGTAACAACATACTGAGGCCACTATATTCATTTTATAATTGACAACAAGAGGGAAAAAAATACTATAAATATCACACAGAGAAAATCAGAAGCATACACTGGATTAAAACCCACTCTCCCAAATCCCGGGCTAGCACCCTACCTGCTTTACCTTGCAAGTTAATATTTACATACTTTCTAATGCAGCACATACCTACATAATATTTACATACTTTCTAATGCAGCAGGTTCCTGAACATACCTAAAATTACTCTCTGCGTTGCCAGACTGTCCCTGTTCTTGGATGGGGAAGCTTCCGAGAAAAGGGGCCAAATGTCCATTAAGTCTGATGGCAGGGTGGTTAGCTTGTTGCTGGATATGTCCAGGTAGGTGAGTCTTCTCAGGTACCTGCCGGCATCCGCTGGAATGCTGGTCACTTTATTGTTATGTAAATCTAGGGTCCGTAGGTTGGGCATCTCCGCCAGTGATTCCCAAGGGAAAGTTGAGAGCAGGTTACCATCCAACCGTAACTCATGCAGTTGTTTCAAATTATAAAAACTGCTGATATCAATGTTAGCTACGCAGTTGTAAGTTAGCCACAAGTATTTGAGATCTACTAAATAGTAAAAGGCTTCTGTTGGGATCCTTCGTACAACAGTTTTTTCTATACGAAGTTTTACAGTATCCACAGGAACATTCACAGGGATCTCAAACATATCAGGATCATTACAGAGCACAGACCTGGTATCAAAAAAAGAGAGAGATCTGTACTGCATTATCAGAAATTTGTATACCAAATTTTAATGTAAATGATATTACTTTATTCCATATTACTGACACAATAAAGAACGTCAAATCAGGAGTAGTCCTCTGCATTTAAAATAATAATTAAAAAAGACAATTAGAAGTAGCTAGCCTCTAAATACAAAGCCATTAAAACAAAGCATCATCACCATCTGCTCCTACCAGGAATGCTAGCCGTGTAACAGTGGTATAATATATGCCACTATTTCTAAGCAACTATGACAAACTAAAGTTTGCAACATCCCAGAAATATTACTTTCAATTTTCTCAGCCCTCTCCCTTATAAATTGCCTTATACAGAAAATAATAAAAAGTATACCTTGTTCCAGTGCCATCACTTCTGCCATGGTAAATGCAAGTGCATTGTGAAGGACAAAAACCACTTACTTCTTCAAAAAAGCTCATTATGAGGTATAAGCATGTAAACAGATACATGGTTTCTTCACAGAAAAAAAAAACTGATATGAACAAACTTGAAAACTTTATTTCCAGGTGCTCATGTGCTGTGTGCTACAAATGTGAATCTAGACATCCATTTAGTAACAGCAGATTACATCAGATTAGCCAAGATCTGTAGTTACTTAACCTTCAAATGTATCCTGAAAGGCATCAGCTAAATCAGCCTGTTCTTTGTTGTGTCAGAAGAACACATTCTGTACTAAATTATATCCAACATGTTTCAATACTATTTTAATACGCAACTATGACTGTAAAGGTAGTCCATAATAAGATACCTCTTTGCTGTTTCTGAGGGCTAGTGTATTAGCTAATATCCATAAGGTATTCCAAGGTCTTTGAAGGAAATCTATTACAGAAAGTACAGCACTAGAAAATATTCTCTAAAGAGGATATTGCATAATATCTACTTTAATACTAAAAATCGCAAATTATTAGAAAGGCTAGATTTTTTAAAAAATCTATTTTGAGAAGTTTTACCAAAAACCTGCATATTTTAAATAACAGCTACACCCTGCAAAGTTAAACTTCAGCTATTTCCATGTTATCACTTTAGTATTAACAATATTAAAATAGAGCCACAGAAACAAACTCTTTGCTGGCGCAAATCATACTCAAGAGCATTGTGAAGTTAAATCTCACCAAGTCAGGTTTAAAATACATATTCTAAATTATTTTCCCAGCAGCTTTGAGTATCTCAAAATCAAACGTATTACTTGATTTTGCTTTTTTACATTTGATGTACACTAAGTTAAACATTTTGCATTGCAAAGTGACAATACTAAAGAGTGGTATCCCTTCAGACAGACATTAGAGGTCTTAAAAGAAAACACAGAGAGCTGAGTAGCTTTAGCTGTATAAAGTCGCAATGGATTAAATATATCTGAAGTATCACTGAGACTTTCGCGAGCGAGAAGATAACCTGAGAATAATCCAGAGTGCATAGGCTGCCATCCACACATAGATCTATACACAGTCATTGCTTCTAGTCTGAACAGTTACTCATAACGACAAACCTCTTTTTTTGAAAGGTATACAGCAGACCTATATAACCATGAGATTGACTTTGAAATGATGAGAAGTCACAATAAATATTTACTCAGTTTTATGAGCCTTCTGGATATAAAGTTTTAGATTGCAGTCTGTCCTGTTTTCATGACTTCCTGTGCAGTCACAAATATACTATTACTAAAGCAAAAGCCACCTTTCCCACAAGTCCTTTTGATTCTGTGACCAAAGATTTTAAAAATTCATTAACTATCACCAAGTCCGTACAAAATCCTTAAAGCTGATAACAACAGGTTCTAGGGCTTAGTTAGATATTCTGGTACCTTAACATACTCACTGAAATAGAACTTTGCTAGGCATGTCAATCCGGAAACACAGTTTAGCTATATATATATATATATATAAAATACATCTATACATATACTAGTATATATACACACACAAAGGTAGAATCCCAATTATTGAAAGTCAAAAGAAAATACAAGAGTAAAACCTTTGTTACTGGAGCTCATCATTTCCTGCTATAGTTTCTCCCAGCCCCTACCTCACCTTGTCCAAGAGTTTAAAGAAGATTTCACTGACCTGCTTTGTTTGCAGCAGGCATACTGGACCATTCAGTCTCATTCCCTGAAACTAAGTTTAAACTTTTTTTTTTCCTTTTTGTTTTTAAATCATCTAAAACATGATTGTGAATAGCAGGAAGCAGCTGGCTGGATGAGGCAGATTACTATACCAAACAAATAACTGTGACCCGGGTTTGACTCCTTTCTATTCAACATATCCAGGCAAATGAAGGAAGTTTTACGATGTCAGTGTGTTCCGAGACACGCTCATGGGCAAGGCATTGTTTATAGTTATCTCTTGTCGTCTCTGACATCGCACCATTGCCAGGATTGCCCTTCGAAACCTGCATAGGACAAAAAAGGGAAAGCACAAAAATAGTTAGTCCAAGAGGCAAAAGCAACCTAGCTGAGCTGGCTGAGTACTCTGACTCTGATTAGCAAAACTTCATAAATAAAAAGGTTTGACTTACTTATTTCAATGAAAAGCATCAGCCCAGCTGAAACAAGTCAGACTATGACAAAACTCAAATCAAGCAAAAAAATCCACAGAACTTACAAGTCTCACATTTTGACCACAGACATTAAAGACAACCAGTCTACCATTGACCCAACCCAAAATGCACAATGAGTCTCTCATGATAAGCCAAAAAACAGCTTTCAAACAGATCTAATAAAAAGCAACACTGACATGTTACCAAAATGTTCATTAATTTAGGATTTTCTGAAGCTGATTTGAACAATTTCTTTATGCCCAAAAGATCATGAAGTAGACTGGAACTCTTAGTTCACAATTAAGAACACTTACTTCTTGTTTGCAACTACATAAATGCAGGGATTATAGAATGTGGAAGACTTTGCAAACAGAGGAGCTATAATAGCCATCACAGGAGAAATTTTCTTTGGGTCTCCAAAGGAAGACCATAAACACACAATGGAATATGGAGACCATGCCACCAAAAACATCACAATCATCACAATGGACATCTGTAAACAAGAGGAACACACACATAACTGGTATTACATGCAGATGAACACCTCTCAACCTAACAAAAAAAATGCATATGCATCCGTGTGGAAAATATACCTATACGAAGCCAAACAACCCAGAAATAACACATTACTTGTGCCTATATTCTTTTCTCTAGTGACAGACAAGATTAGAAAGGAGAGCTTTTCTGATCCATAACCAATAAGCAAGCTATGACTTATAGAGAAGATTCCTACATAAATACAAAAGCAGTACCCCTTAAAAACATATATATTATATGAAAGAACATCTTCATTTAGAAGCTCATCTTTGGTGAAAAAAGCAAGCAGTCCAATTTTAAAGGATAGTATTTATCTCTGAAGCTGATTCTGATTCAATTTACTTTTCAATTTACTTTCCAATTCAATTTCAAATTGCCAAACATGGCAATACCCTTTCATGCCTAGGCCATGAGTTTAAGTCAGAGCTGACCAATGCACTTCTGATCACCCGTGAACCTAGCAGGAAAACCTAGAGACTCTGCAGACACAAGGAGTAGACAATCCTCCCAGGATTTCTCTGACCTACATTTCTATGTGATGAAAGTAGAAACAGGGAATATTTGTGTTGTTCCTGGCCTTCAATGTAGCTATTTGTATACATTTCCCAACTACGGAAAGAGTAACTTTCTGAAAGTAAGCAATGTAGTATTATTAAAAAAAAAAAAAAAAAAAAAAATCAAGCCAAGAATTTTAATCTTGGCTAACTTCCAGT